TTCTAAATATATAACAATAAAAGAATAGTTATAAGAAATTCAATATCGAAGATTTTTAACCCTTGTTTTATTAGAACTTACGGATTATTCGTACAATTATTACAGTATTTTACAATAGAATAATTTTAAGTTAAATAATTAAAGTTTCTATTAAAGTCATACACATATTCTACACGCGTCTTTTTTTTATTCATACAATGACAGCTTTTCTCTCTTTTTTCGTTTTTTCGTTTACACAACAGCCTGTTAGGACATCTACAAAATGTTATTTTTCACGCGTTCATTTATATAATTTGAAATGCAAATACGCACGTGATTTTACATAAGCAATATTTTATCGTTGATTCACTTTTAACTTTGTGTAAAATATTAGTGATTTATTAATTTATTATTGATTTATATACATAAATATAATGTAATTAGTGATCGATAAATGAAATGAATACTTAATAATTATAATTGAATAAATTACTTAACAATTATAATTTTAATACAACATATTATTTCAAACATTTACATCAACAGACAATATTTAAATAAAAAAAAATTAATAAAATTTTATTTTATAAATTAAAATTTTATCTGCTTTCAAAAATTTTATTTAAAAAAACGTTTATACATATAGCAGAACCAACGATGAAATAATGCTAATTGGAGCTTTTAAAACTTCATATTCGAATACTGAATATCTTGCTATAATTTTAGCGATTTCAGTTTGTCACATATTATTGTCAGCTAGTAGCAAATCGGACAATTTTTGCTACCGCCATGCCGAACAAAATCGAATATAATATTGACTCTAGAGATCCGACGCCGCAATTGGTACAATAATACAACTGTATATACAACACTGGTAAAATGGCACGATTTGACAAAACAAATCAATCGTTTAATGTTAATACCATTATCATTAATTATTATTATATTAACAATAAATTTTGTACATGTGATTCGTTAAAAACGTTACGTGATACGTTTTAACGGCAGTATAAAAATGAAAACAAAATATACAAAATGTAACATAACATTGATAAAGTAATTCGTAATATAAAATGTTTCGTTACTGATGATACATGATATTTTTTAAATATATATTTTACAGAGAATGACGTTATAATTTTTAATGTACATTTTGGACCAAATATAAATTTTGTAATCTGTATTATTTTTACGATGATCAAATAATTATAAATAAATATTTATCATGTTAATCTTTTTTTTTTATTTTAAGTAACAAGAATTTTTTAAAACGAGACACTATTATATAATTATTATAATTTATAAATGAATAATATTAATCAATATTAAAATAATGCTAAAAAATTAGCATATCAGAAATAATCGGATCAAATTTAACGAATTAAATCTAGTTATGAAGAAAATAAAAATTAATATATCGTATGTATAAGTAACGAAGATAGTTGTAACTGATATGCTTCCAACAAATAATTATCATCATTAGATTATTTTGTGAATAACACAATTTTATTCACAGCAGTTGATCAATTTCCACGATATACGATTCATTATAATACATCAGGTATTAAAGTTTCCAAAAATCTCATGATTTTCTTCAACAATGAATAAAAACTATTTTATTTTAGAACATAGGATTATTATTAAATCCAAAATTTGTATGTTTTAAACGTGATAGTATGCAATTATTGCAAATAGGCAGTTATCACTTCTCCACTTAACATCATTATTCGCCAAAAAATGATCATCAATAATCATTTTGTGAAATAGTTTCTGATTTTCCATCTTATTAAGTCATTATGATACACCTATAATCACATCAAAACAATACAATACATAAATGTACAAACGGACGCGATCATACATCTTTCATCGACTTTCTATCAGCAGTACCAAGAATAGTATTGTCAAAATATACATAGAATCATCATATAGCTTTTTTCTTGTTTTTTATTTATTTACTTTTTTATTTTAATACGCTTACATAACGAGAATTAATGTACATCGTGTCTCTGAGAGAGTAAGTGGGCGAGAAAAAAGTTCAAACTTTCCAAAAGTCTCACACTCGCAGAAGCAATCCTGCAATTAGTACCAGAAGTGAAGGACTGACGGATCGTCGATTTAAATATCAACAAATTCGATTTATCCATTAATTATTTTCATGAGGAAATAAATCTCTTCAAACATTGCAACACGATTTGGACAGATCTTGTCTCACAAAAGTCAAGTTTCTAAAATACAATTTTTTTTTTTTTTTGACCGCTTCTAATTTCACTCATTAAAGCATCCTTCTTCTCTTTCCTACTCAAATTTGTAAAGAGTCATTGTACCCGTGTCGACAAATTGTTTATGATTATCATTACGCAAAGCCAAAATGTGCGTTTTTGTTTGTGGTCTTTTGATTTATTAATTATATTGTCGTCTTCTTCGTTGAAGAAAAATATGTTGTACTAAGATTGAAGAAGAATTTAACTCGAGTACAAATTAGGAATTCTCTTTTTTTCTTCTTATTATATTATAGTAGTATCTTTTAGTAGTAAAGATCAGAACGAAAAGCGTCCAATCATTACAGACGGATGATGGCACCAGCGAACGGGCTGTACTCTTAATAATCATGTTTTCTACGACGCAACAACGATGACAATAATAATATAACGTTAATAATAGTGCTATTGGCTTAACAACGATCGACAGTCACGATTCACCTTAAAATCGTTTAGTGACTAGTTTCGCAGGCTTCCCACGGATCTTAGGCCAAAACCACTGGGATAGGCCACTGCAATGGTCCTTCCGTCGAGGATTTGGAGTCCAGTGGAATATATCGAATGTACAATTATGTTACAGATCTTCAGCTAATAACCGGTGAATTTCGTTCACCGTAGAGATAAACAATTCAGAAACGGTATCGTTTCATATAATCGACGTTTGCTAGGTCATCACCGTGTCGGTAAGATCTTCCTTCAGCCATTGTGGGATAGTTCTCAACCCGAGCCGTTTCAATAATTTCACTAGAGCCGTGTTGTGGGATAAATAATATCTCTGCAAAGAAACAAATAGATTAAACCGATCATCCTTTCAATTTTTTAATCGTTTTATCATAAATACCTGTAATAATTTGTACGATTTATCCTCCATAGGCGGATATTGACGGCCTTTGCTCTTGCCAAGACATTTCGTTCGATCCTCATTGGTAACTTGACAAAAGAATCCTTTCTTCGGATCGTACCTCAAATGAGACGAGTAATTGAAAGCGGGCGTGATCTTGAGGAACCTTTGTAACTCGTGCAATGTCTCTACAGGATTTTGCCGCAACTGTTCGCCGTCTATAATGTGCAATTGCTGAGGCGGATAATAGGAAAGCCACCTTTCCAGATGCTGAGCGTATTTTCCGGGATTTAAACATCTGTAAGAGATTCGAACAATAATATTTGTCGCATCTATCTTCTCGAGTACGATTAATATTTAACCATATAAACATAGATTTATTCGAACATCTATTAGCAATTTAGATCTTTACTTATCTATGGCAACAAGATAATATTATTTATATTATTTAACTATTCAGTTATTCAAGAATTTTTTAGCGACTCGTTACTTTATTTGGGACAATCATAGATAACACAGTGCTCGTTGCAACAAAATTATTCGAATGACTGTACAATATTGTAACCTACCTATTCCTGAGATCGCGTAGGGGTTTTGGTGCTGTATCGCTTGCAGTGATAACCGAGTGAAAGGAATAATTATTTGCTACAGGATCGCCATGAACTCTCGTGTGCTGGTACCATGAATAGGCACGCCTAGCAGGCGAAAGTAGTATAGTAATTAATTTTGCTCTGGGTAGAAGAGCGTGAGCTCTACGTGGTACTAATTCCCCATCGAAATAAGTTGCAGATTTTTCAAACAGATACCGCGAACTCTCGTTTTTCGATGCTGGGAAGAAGCTCATGTACCTGAGGATGAAACAGAATGATAAATAGATGTGAATTGATATGATTTGCGTGTTTCTGAAGTTGAAAAGAATTACGCGTCATGGCGATTATGCCAATACTACCAGAATTATCGATATTTATATTTTGTAATAAAATATATATTATATATATATATATTAAAAAGTATATATTATATTAAAATGTATCACATCGAAATTAATAAATGTGTTAACTTCTTAATTTCACCTTAACTCACCAATCAAGGCCTTTGTAATAATTTTTCCCATTGAAGAACTGAATCTCCTCGAAAGTGTCAGGACTTGGCAAATTGCTGCTTATCGCAGGATGAATGGAGAGGAAAGTATAGAGAGCAGTAGTGCCAGTTTTTTGAGGACCAATTACCAGAAACCTTGGTAGTTGATCACATGTCTTGTTCCTCGACCAAATCTTTTGATGCCTCTGATCATCACAGGGATTCTTTAACACGAAAGAGAAGCTTAATTATTCGCAACTTGAAAAATTATTATATTTGATATTATATAACAATACAACAACAACTTACACCCCACACAGGATCAGATTCCTCAGGATAGAGTTGAAAATATCTTTCCGCTAATTGAAGAGGCGGTGCACTGGATAATCTCAAATTCGTCCAACATTGGATAAATTTAATCACAGACTCGAAGGTATACAATGCCAGACGATCGTTTCCATAATTCGACATGTGCGTCATAAAAATATTGATCTGAAAGAAATGATAATGAATTTGAGAAAATTTTTCAAAATAAATTAGATAGATAAGTATTGGATTACCTACAGGATTGTGAACGATTGTCTGGAAGAGTTCGCCACCCTGTATCGATCTGTCCAGTTTCTCTCTTCCGCCTGGATATCTATCGATAAAGATTGTGTGTGTGAAAAGGCCACAGGTTTGTCTCGGTAGAACCTTGCACAGAAACAAAGAAAAGAGATTGTCACGCGTTTCGTTTTATCGTTTAATTCATCGCAGTATAGAATTGTTCGCTCCAGGGAAATCAATTCTTTATTCTTCTTTATCGGCTCGACGGTTGTTTAACCGTCGAAAAATCCACAAAAGAAAGAATTCACAAAAACGAAAAGACGTTTCGCTTGCAATTTTATCGTTTATCATGTCGTTTATTTGCTATATCAAGTCGATCCATCGATTTTTATTCTCAAGTTTTGAAGTATTCTTGTTCCTCGAGACAATGCGAATAAAAGTGTTGAAAAAGTGTTGATGGTGGAAAATATGAAACTGTGAAATTATCGATTCGTTCGTTTGTTCGATTAGTTAATTCGTTTATTGCTTTAACTTAGTTTTCGAACAGGCAAGCAGTTAACGTCGAACAATTGACATTGTAGTAGAAAAGTAGAGAAAAAAAATTGTTCAACTCTCGAAAAAGATTATTCGAATTGATTCGATTTAATAAAATGTACTTCTTTAATAAATATTGTAAAAGACTTATATCAAATCTTGTGTTGTGTTTATTATAATAGAATTTTTTTTTAAATTTTATTGTTGTATTACTTTTATATAAATTATTTTATAATATATGTTATTGTTAAAAATTTTTAATCTTAAATGGATCTTTATTAATTAAATGTTATTTTATTTCTTAAAAATTATTTAAAAAAAAAATAAATTATAATCGATATTAAAATAATGATTAACGAAAATTTACCATTATATTACGATGAATAAATCCTCTTCTTAATCGAGCTGGCCTCAAATGGGGATACTCTTCTGTGCTTGTGACTTTGATGTTCCACACTCTTTTCCACGCTTCATATAATCCTTCGTGGACCGGATAAACGCCGGAATGATGAGGACTTACGCTGTAACCGCTTCCTGTTGGAATTCCGTGGTCTTTCGCGAATTGTTTGTTCAACGCCATGTCTAATTGTAGATGCGTTACATTCTCGTAAAGGTGAGGTTGTTGATGATTCCACATATGAGAAAACCACGTAAATCTGCAATTTAGATAATGTTGATTTTAATTTGAAAAAAAAAATATGTCGAGTAAAATTGATTTTTAAATCTTTCTAATTAAACGATTAAAAAAAATTTTATTTCAAAAAATGGCGAACAACTTTATCTATTTATTTAATCAAAGTGTACATAATCGATTTTAATTGCTGTGGAGGAAAGCAATTACTCGAACAAATCGCGACGATTCGCAAACAAGTGCAACTTCCGCGATCAACCGTAATACGTGTACGGTCTCAATACGTCAATTTGCGCCAATAGTAAATCTTTCTGCGCTCTGTTTACCACCCTATTCGCGCAATAACTTTCCGCCAATTCCATTTCCCTCATCATACGCGTCGTAAAATCCATTCACAAATCGTTCTTAACTCAACCATAGAAAGACATTAATCTTGTAAACATGTAATATTATTCATCTCTCGTTCTATTTTATCTTGTTTTTTAAACAAATTACCTTAAACTGACTTTTATCCAAATACTATAACTAAGATTTCTCATCTTATCTGAAAAGACGATATCTTTTGTTATTTATCGATAAACAAAATATCAAAAAAATATATATACCTGTCGACGTTCTCCAGAAGCATATCGTCCCCCAGATTTTCCTCGGAGGTGCCGTGATGGAAATATTTTCCAGAAAACCCCAAGTTAAATTTGAAACCAGGTACCAACGCTTGGATCCTCTGTTGGGTAATCAACAGCGCCATCACGTCGTCCTTTCTTAATCTCGTTCCCTTCTCACCGACGAATATATCATCGACGTCTACCAAGATCATGCGATTAAGGCTTAGGCTCAACTGGCCGTGGGACAAGTAGGAAAGAGAGTCGAGCAATAACAAGTTGTGTAACCAGAATCGTAATCCTCCGCCAAAAAAGACTCTCTGAATCCCATCGTATCTCCCGTGATCCTGCATAATAAAAATCCAATGTAGGTTCGTTAAAGTTTATCAGAATATGATATAATCTGATCTTTGTCATTTAACAGACAACATTCGATATATATATATTTATATCTTTTTCTATATTTCGAAGGGAATGAGCGAGAATTAAACGAGACAGTTCGAAATAGCTCGTTTACTAAGCTGATAACGAGTTCCAGGTATTTAATATATCGATCAAATTTCGCGGATAATCCTAGCGCATAAAGGAACCACGATGAATAGTGAGGAAAAAATGGAGAGAAGGAGAGAGAGAGAGAGAAAAAAAATACATACTCATCGAAAGGAGGATTTCCGTGGAAATTAAGGTTCGATATTCAAGCGGATTTCGATCGTTCTCGGGTTTAAACGGGTTATGAGAGAGGCAACTGGAACGCTAATCTCCTTTTAATCGCTTTCAAGAGCGATATATTCGATTCGAATTGCGATTGTATCCTGGCATAATCGTTATTTTGAATAGAGAGATTTCACGTTTTATATGTGGCGGAATAAGCCTGATTTTTAAAATAAAAATTTTATCTCTATTGAAATATATACAATGTATTTTTTAATTTGAGTAAATATAAATAATGCATAAGATTTGCAAATTCAAAATTATTGAAAAATCAGGATAGAGTTTATATAATATTCTTATTTGTATATTATGAAATTTTAATTAATTCTTTTAATTAATTAAAAGAAGAAATAGTAAAAAAAAAAAAATATTTAAGAAATAAAAAAATTGCAAATCACAAATTGGCATAATTGATTTGAAATAATATTCTAATATATATTCCAAATTAAGATTCATATTTTAAACTTTATCATAGAATAGATGTTGATAACTTATTAGAATTTTATTTTTATTTAATCAAAAGAACTATCCTTTCATCGATCAAACCATGTTAACCATATTAAATTAGATTCTCTCGCAAAGAAACAGAGTTACTTAAAGCTTTTCTCTTTTCCTTTCTCTCAACATAGTTCATCGACGTTGAAAACTCGGTTAAAAAAAAAAAAATGAAGTCGATTATCGATCATCGCACGCGTCGATCGATGATCCGTTATGTAAAGTAGGAATTGTTCATTGGCCGCAGTAAAATTATGGTGATCTCGTTCCACTTATTTTTCATCGAACGATTGCGTGCAACGTTAATAGGTTTGCGCGCGTTTGACGCGTTGATGCTTATCGATCGGCGCGTATATAAGGGCGCGTTAATTTCAAAAATGTTTTGCTTCAATGTATTATAATAATGCCTTCCAACAACTCTATTTTCCTCGACGAACAGGATATATCTAGATGCGATTTCCAAGAGAAAATCGCCATTTATGAAACACAACGCATTTTTTAATCATGATTATTATTGATGAATATTATAATAAGTTTTTATTTTTAACATGTTACTAAAAGATGTACTACCTGAGATGTTACTAAAATGTAATGTAGAACAATAATTATTTTTGTTTGTTGGAATATCTATATTGCAAGTTGCAATAATTATTTATTAAAAGTATTAGCTCTGTATCGATGATTTTTAATATAATGTCATTTTAAAAATCGTCATCTTGAATAATATTGTGAAGATTTTACTTAATACAATTTAAATTAATTTTAATCAGATTTATTGCCAGATAATTGATGACCCATCGCTTCACGATGACCAAATTAAGGAATCAAATTTAATTCCAATAAACAATTGGTTAACAATTAAAAAAGTTTTTATTAATTCTGATTTGAAGTGAAATTAAATTCAGAATTAATATAAATTATATGGTTGAGTTAAAATAAATTAAATTAAATTAGATTAATGACAATTTGACAATCGTTTCCTTATTAATATTAATAAATAATATTTTAAAAAACATATTTTAAAACGAGTTTTAACTAAGATTTTCACAACAATTTCAATATGACATATTAAAAAATCATTGAAATCGAAAATCGTGATATCTTTTTATAAATATTTCAAGTTGCGTTCAAAATAGAAGAAAAATATAGAAGTTTAGTTAAAAGTATGTTTAGAATATATGTATATGTAATTTTTATTCACAATACGAATATAGATCTATATAGATAGAACCCAATATAGATCCAAAAACGTTTGAAAATTGATATATGGAAAAATTTTTTACAGAGGATTAATTTTTGAATACCAAGAAATATAATAATCGATGATATATATATATATCAATTTTTTTAGAATTTTCAATGTAACCAACTTATCTAGCGATCCAAACAAATCAATCAGTTTGAACATTAAGCGGAGAAATCGTCGTTCGACCAATCTGAATGGCCTGATTAGTTAGAAAAATTTTCTATTAAACGGAGAATCCAGTTTTCGAATCCGATGGAGGACGGATTTCGATTCTTTTCCTAACGATAAAAGCGAACATTTCCATCAATAATCTTCTTTTCACCAAATAAAGCGAACGTTTTATTAATCGAATTTCAAGCTTATTTGCTTGAAAAGAAAAAGAAGAAGCCATGAAGAAATTGTCGAGATATTGAAAAGAGCAATTCATCAGTGGCCTCGATATTTAAAAAAAAAAAAAAAAA